AGTATATACAGTTTACATTGCTTCTAGATATCTAAATGAATAAAAATAGTTCACTTTCTACAAATCAGTGACGAATTCAGCTTTGGTTACGTGCGTGTCTGGTGTAACTGGTCGTGCCCTCACTCCCCACGATAATTAACCCCTGCGATATAAAAACTTATTGTTAATGCCCGAGCAAAAACTTGGTGGGCTCGGGCCTCCGGGGTCGGAACTAATTTCTAACGCTGCCGGCGGCACGGGAGCGATTTTTTCTCGTATCTTCCAAAATTTTCGCTCTCGTAATTGTTGTTACCAGAGCGCTTTGAAAGCAGACGGGAGCGAAATCGCTCGCCGCTCCCGTGTATTTTTTTCGCTGGCGCTGTCGCTCCGCGGCACTTGTTATATATTTTTTTTTAGCTTTATTAACAGGTTCTTTTTAAAATAAAAGGTTAAAAAGCACCAGATTGCTTGATTCTAACCCCCAAAATTAAAAAATCTCCCTACCGTGGAAGTGGGACACCTCACTCCCCTTCTCCCACCCTTCGGTCGCTTCGCTCTCTCGCATTTGTTCTAGAAATATTTTCAGTGTATTTCTTGAACTTTAATTTTCATGCCTGGACGTGGGACAATGCTGATAACTGAAACATAAAATGACGGATGATTATAATCAACCTACTCTATCTCCCCCTCCCACCCCCCGTCTTTGGGTTACTAGCGAAGACTGACAAAAAAAATGTCCTGCATCCGTTCCTGATTTCACGTTTTAAACATAGTTCTTCTGCCACACAGGAGGTTGTCGAGCTCTACGTGTTCTTTCAGGTGGCGGAGTTCCAGGGGAACCTACTTCCCTTCGTGGGGGTCACAATTCTGGGCACATTCGGCCTGCTAGGGGGTGCAGCAGGAGTAGTTGGCGGGGCAGCAGGTGTTTCACAGGGCGTCTCACTAGTACTGGGTGCAGGCGATGGCACTGAAGGTCGTTCAGCAGTTGGGAGTGGTGCTGGGGTAACCGCCGGTGGGGCGGCAGCATGGCAGCCGGCTCCGCTGTCCTGGGCGTTGGAGACTGTAATGTTTGGGGAACGTGTCCATGTGCCCCAGTTGGCGTGACAGTGGGTGAATAGCGAAGGTCCTCCTTCAGTGTCTGAGGTTTGGTTCTCTGTGGCACCACAGGTTCGTACCGTCGCAGAAACCGCATCATCAATGTGTACAACATACTGGTCGAATTCTCTAACCTCAATGATAACCCCAGTTTTGTCCCATCGTGTGGGGTGGGGGCCAGTTTGGTTCTGTGGTTGCCAACTGCCAGCGGTGGTAGTTACTTGGTGTGCTCTGTCACCTTTCGGCAGCCTTCATGTGTCTGTTCCTGAGTGCTTCCTCCCTCGCCGTCATGGTTTCACGCCATGTGGGATGAGGCTTGTATCGACCTGGCAGTATGGGGATGAAGTCTTTTATAGGTCGACCAAAGATACACATGGCGGGCGAGATCTTAGTCTCAGGGTCAGGCATATTCCTGTATTGCAATACCAGAATACTGCGTGCTGCAGCGCATCGGTGTCCAGCTCACCGCGTGGACCGGTGTTGCTAGTGATCATACGCTTCACCGTTTACACTCCTACTTCCTCCTTCTTCAATTTAATGCTAGTTTTTAAGAAAATGCAGGGGAGGGTGAAATGTCTTCTGAATTGTGACATCTTTTAAAAATAATCACAGTCACAGTGAAATAAACATCTGTACTATTTTTAACTTTATACAGGCAAACATTCACCTATGATAGCAGACGACATTTTTAAGATTGTTGTGGATAACGCAGAGAAACTCGACTCTGCTATCATATATGACCGTGACTTCAAATACCACTACTTTGGCTTTAAGACACTGGAGCGCTCATACCTCCTTAAGATAAATGGTAAGCATGTATAACATATATTTATATATAATAAAGTGTGCATTTGTTTAATTTTAATTTAGAAACGCCTTCAGAATATGTCGATAGCATCTTTTGCATGCATTTCTAACATGAGCAGGGTTTCTTCTGAGGGAAAATTACACAAAGGAGGTAATGGCCAGTTTGGGGGAAAAAAACGCCCATGATGGATTCAAAGGCGTGCCGTGCCCTAGGCACGCATGCGGATGCTGCAGGCAGATGCGGGGGGAGAGAGGGGGAACTCCTCAATTTGAAAATTTTGAATGTCTTCGACTGCATTTGAGGCAACCTGAAACCCTGAACATTTTGACAGCGGCGGTGCGCCACTGTGCCTCTTATGTATAAGAAACACTGATGAGTTAACTGGCAAATTAACCATTCGTTGTTTTTCTTATTTGTGGTTAAAAGATATGCAAATAACACGTACATACTACATGGTTCGCACAGTCCTTGAAAAGTCCTTGAATTTGAGGGGAGTCCTTGAAATGTACTTGAATTTGAGGGGAGTCCTTGAAATGTACTTTAATTTAGTAAATGTTGATTTTGTGCTTGAAAAGTCCTTGAATTTTTAGAAAGAATCTTTGCCTGTAATAAAAAGAAATTTTGTATCATCAATAATGTGTAAACCTCAATAAAAATTGCGTTAAATGAGCTTAAAAAGCTATAGACACGATAGACAGTTAAATGATGATCACAAATTACAGTGAGTCACTAAAATCAGTCAGTAAATCAAGGTATGTTGTAGAAGTGACAGTGTTTAGAAGGGTTTATTAATGTGATCCAGGTAAGTTTTAGAGGTGACATGCAGTGATTAAGAATGGGGTTATTAAATTAATCCAGGTATGTTTTGTTCTGTGTATGAATTCCGATAAAATGTCTGTTAAAATGTCCTTGAATTTCCGATCAAATGTCCTTGAAAAAAATGTCAGTCCTCCTGTATGAACCATGTACGAACACTACCCATGTTTCCCTTCGCTCTGCCACAATTTCTATTTGGCACAATACATTTGATATATTTATGTTGTATTTTACTGTGAAATGAAAACGTTCTGTATTGGGCCCAATATTCATTGTTAGTTAAATTATAATATTCAATCTTCAAAATGTGCACAATTGTGGATCATTGTTATCTTTAGTTTTAAAAAAGCTAATCGCTAGGAATTCAGACACTGTATCGAGCGAACATTTCCGTGTGCTTCAGGCAAGGTGGCGGAGCGTCCCCAGCAGATGCTCATGAGGGTGTCCGTCGGGATCCACCAGAGGGACATCGACAGCGCCATCGAGACGTACAACCTGCTGTCGGAGAAGTGGTTCACGCACGCGTCGCCGACGCTCTTCAACGCCGGCACGCCGCGTCCGCAGCTCTCCAGCTGCTTCCTGCTGACGATGAAGGACGACAGCATCGAGGGCATCTACGACACGCTGAAGGAATGCGCGCTCATATCGAAGTCCGCAGGAGGCATCGGCGTCAACATACACAACATCCGCGCCTCGGGAAGCTACATCGCCGGCACCAACGGCTGCTCGAACGGCCTCCTTCCCATGCTGCGAGTCTTCAATAACACGGCGAGGTACGTCGACCAGGGCGGCAACAAGCGTCCGGGCGCCTTTGCGATGTACCTCGAGCCGTGGCACGCGGACATCTTCGAGTTTCTCGACTGCAAGAAGAACACCGGGAAGGAGGAACAGCGAGCGAGAGACCTGTTCTACGGGCTCTGGATCCCGGATCTGTTCATGACGAGGGTCGAACTCAATCAGGACTGGTCTCTCATGTGTCCGGCGGAATGCCCGGGCTTGGCCGACTGCTGGGGCGACGAATTCGAAGCTCTCTACACCAAGTACGAAAAGCAGGGCAAAGTGAGAAGGACGATCAAAGCACAGCAGCTGTGGTACGCCATCATGGAATCGCAGACGGAAACGGGAACTCCCTACATGCTCTACAAGGACGCGTGCAATCGCAAGTCGAACCAGCAGAACCTCGGCACCATTAAGTGCAGCAACCTGTGCACGGAAATCGTCGAGTACTCGTCGCCCGATGAGACGGCCGTCTGCAACCTCGCCTCGGTCGCGCTCAACATGTACGTGCGCGCGGACAAGACGTACGACTTCCGCAAGCTGAAGGACGTGACGAAGGTCATCACGCGCAACCTCAACAAGATCATCGACATCAACTTCTACCCGGTTGAGGAGGCGCGCCGATCGAACATGCGCCACCGTCCGATCGGCATCGGCGTTCAGGGTCTCGCCGACGCGTTCATCCTCATGCGCTTGCCGTTCGAGAGCGAGCAAGCCCAGCTGCTCAACAAGCAGATATTCGAGTCGATATACTACGGCGCGCTGGAGGCGAGCTGCGAGCTCGCGGAGAAGCTTGGCCCCTACGAGACGTACGCCGGCTGCCCCGTCAGCAAGGGCGTCCTGCAGTACGACATGTGGGGCGTGACCCCCACCGACCTCTGGGACTGGAGCGCGCTCAAGGCGAAGATCGCCGCTCACGGCGTCCGCAACAGCCTGCTGCTCGCGCCGATGCCGACCGCGTCGACGGCACAGATCCTCGGCAACAATGAGTCGATCGAGGCGTACACGAGCAACATCTACTCGCGGCGCGTGCTCTCCGGCGAGTTCCAGATCGTCAACCACCACCTGCTGAAGGACCTCACCGAGTGCGGCCTGTGGGACGACCACATGAAGAACCGCATCATCGCCGAGAACGGCTCCGTTCAGAACGTCGAGGAGATCCCGGACGACCTGAAGCAGCTCTACAAGACCGTCTGGGAGATCTCGCAGAAGACGATAATCAACATGGCTGCCGATCGCGGCGCCTTCATCGACCAGAGTCAGTCACTGAATATTCACCTCGCCGAGCCGAATTACGCCAAGCTTACCAGCATGCACTTCTACGCGTGGAAGAAGGGCGTGAAGACCGGCATGTACTACCTGCGCACAAAGGCCGCCGCGAGCGCGATCAAGTTCACGGTGGACAAGCAGAGTTTGAAGACGAAACAGGTGAAGAAGGAGCAGACCGAAGAGGAAAATGTAGCGGCCCTAGCCTGCTCGTTGGAAAACAAAGATGCGTGTGTCATGTGCAGTGGTTAACGTGTATTACTTGGGCAATTTGCAATGAGCAAAGCAAGTTAAATTATTCCTTGCAAGTTAAGCAATGTTCCTGAGAGAAAAACTGTCCAAGTTGAACGCAGATAGTGCTGTGATATCTCTGCAGAAAAATTAATGATATTTCTGTGTATTTAGAGGGAATAAACAGGTTCATTTCTGAGGGATCCAAAAGGTCCTGCCAAGTGGGATATTTTGCATCTGGGCTGCTGGGATCCATCTTTCCATGGTGGGAAATATGGTCTGAATTTGCTTAATCCCCAATCTGTTTTTTCAAATCTGTTAATCCCAAAGTTTTTTTCAGATCTGCTTACAGGGGGCTGTAGTTGTTATAGTGTTTATTTACAGGTTTCTCTAGAATATTTGGCCGTACAGCTGTTATTTTTTGCAATGGCATACTTGTATTTATATCACCCTCATTATGCATTGGCATGGACATTCTTTGTGGTCAATCAATGTCAGTGATAATGGGAATTAATAACTACATTCTATGACATACTTGTTGCTAACTGGATGCAACAACTGCAAATCACACATTTCCAAATGAGGACCTGACACCATAATGCATGTATTACATTGAGTATCATGTAGATGTGACGTGAGTTATTTGGTTACCAATAGTTACCAAACCTAGTAGTCAGAAGATTATTGTTTGATTTGACCCTCCCAACAATAGGAATCTTGTACATTGGTAATCAGTGTAAGTGTCCTACGCTATTTGATGTTTTTGTATTGTAGTCCATTAGTTGGTGTACATATTAAGTTTAGGTGAATAGTAATTTCACAGGTTTAATATTTAGTGGTCTTGGCAATGTCGAAATATAACCTTACATGCTTGTATATAGCTTAAAGTGCACATCTTTGAGTTATTTTGAGGAGCAGATTTCTGACAATTAAGTTTCTTAGTTTAATCTTGCTGGAGTGGTCTTCAAGGGAGTTATGAAAGAAATTCTACTTCTTTCTACGCGATTGATAACGTGTGATTTCACGATGTCTGCATATCATACTGTATATTTTTAGAATAAAGCTATTGAGTATTCTATGTAATAACAAAAGTTCAGATTCATAATTTATTTCATTAATATAATTTCACATTTGCAACTTGTATATCAGTATCATAAAACTACAAAAACCGGTCAGTTATTTTGACGGGCCAGGTGGGTTACGGCAAGTAAGAATGTTTTCAGCATTGCTTTGTGCTTAAAATTCACAACAATTGCTCCCAACATTCAAATTTCGTCACAGTGGCAAGACCGACTTTAGTCATCACATGATTTTAAAACATTGCAAATAAAACAAAAGTATAAGGGAAACATTTTAAAGCTGCCTGGCATCATAGCTATAGTGGTTAACGGTCTCTATATAAGCCACTGACTTTACCTCGGCTTTCTAAATATATACATAGACGCACAAATATTTTTCACACTACTAACAACATTGCAATTATATGTCCATCATAACGATTTGCTCATTAAATGCCATACCTTTATATTATACAAAAGGTTACTAATTGCATAAATTATTTCTGTTGGTTTTTTTTGAGCAAGAGTAAATAAATACTGCGCAGAGATTCCGAGTTATGACATTCAGAGCAAATACCATACTGACCATGATTTAGCAGAGATCATAGTTGATCCAACTTACGCTGAGAGGGACTATGTCCCCCAGGGTACTGCCAGAACGTACCCTGGGTACGGTCCTGTATACCGGAACGTACCCTGGTACTATCTAATATGCCGGACCGTACCTCGCCTACTCCACTAACGAGTCTAGGGAGTCGCCTACGCCTACTCCCTAACCCTAACCATATCAGATAGTTACCAGGGTACGTTCCGGCAGTACCCTGGGGGACATAGACCCTATGAGCCCAACTTACAGATGCAATGCCAGTTCTCTAGAGAAGGGTACTATCAAGTATGCCAATTATTAATTATATATAATAGCTGATAAGCTCTTGATAGCATGACAATAGGAATGACTATAGTATTAATTGACTCGTGTTACCGTTTGCCATAATATCCCAGTTTTCATCCTATTTATAATTTTGTAAATCGAACAGTAGAAACGAGATCATGATGATATGAAATACGGCCAATTTACATTTCACTATCTACAAAATGAGACAGTGAACAGTCACCATTTTCAACATACATATATATAAAATTAGAAATCTATACAAATACTGAGCCATTGGATTTGGAACAAATTGTTGGGGCAGCTAATCAAAATTTTCACCACCTACCCCAACCACAAAATAACACCGCTTAGCATCAATGGGTAATTAGCCAATATACAAATATATGAACAAAATAATATTACTTGAAGGATCAACCAACATCAGCGTAGCCGCATAGCGCGAACGGACGCTCTTTTTCTCCCTCTCACAACATGTCGGCAAAGTGCTTGTCGTATATGTCCGGATGGCACTTCTGCAGCTTCTTCAGCCAGTGCTTCTTGCTGCGGAGCGAGGTCGACGCGTCGTCGATGATGGAGTTAACGAGATCCTTCAGCGCCGTCTCTGACGTCTCCTGCCGCTGCCGCTCAAACTCCTCCTCCGACACCTGCTCGCAGTATGTCGTCTCTGCGCAAGACACGCCAAGTTACTCATCAGACTGATTTACGATTTGGTACAACTAATCACAAAAACACAACTAATCAGTTGCGGATATTATTACGGTGGTCCCTGCTTTGTCGGGCTTTCGATAAACATGTACAGCTGGTATAAGGTATAGGTATAATGAGGGTCATGACGTCTTTGAAAAATGATCCTTGCGTACGTTATTACATGTTCCCTGCTTAATTGGGACTAACACTAAATGGGAACATTTTCATGGTTTCCGACATTTCCCGATAAAGCAAGGACCTCTGTATTACGTAACCCATTTAAAGCAAAACTGAGTACAACTACTAGAGTACTACCTGCAAAATGGGATATATGAACAAGTGTCGATTTTACTAATCCGGCTTGAAAAGTACATAACTCACTTCACCCAAAACCTACAATTAAATGGTGAACTACGGCACTGTAAACACTGCTTACCGATAACCGCAGCATCAAGACCACTGGAAAGTGTGCGCAACTGTCTATCCACTTGCATCTCAATGTCGCAAGGCACGGTGAAGACACCATCATTATGTTCCAAGATGAAGCCTTTAAACGCAAAAGTAAGCAAGTGCTTTCTATTAGTATTACTCGCAACCATTGTTATGACATTATAATATTAGCTGCTTCAAAAATCACTGGGATATTACTGATGCAGTGGTTTTAGGCACTATCAATACTATTTGTATAGAGACAATGCGTGAAATGACATTTAACAACATGTAACAATTTGTCCCTAGCAGGAACCATCAAAAAAGATGTGAACCTTCCCAACAGCAGTTCGATTCGTAGCTCCGCAGAACATTAAACACTGAAATATGCATAGAAATTACCTGTCTACAATGTTCTCTCTGCACATTAGGAAGCAGACAGCAGTTATTTCTAAGCTTACCTAGATACGTAGCAGCTCGATGGCTGGACAGCAGTGGGCTTCTGATAATGGCGCTCGTGAACGTGTGCAGCATAACTTCCTTGTTGCTCATCTGCACATTCAACAACGCTGTCATAAATCACCACGCGTCAACGATAAACTTAAATCAGTTTTTTTATTAATTAATTTGTTATTTATTTTTATTAATTTTAATTTTTTAATTTTTTTATTAATTGTGTGATAAAGACACAATTAGCTACCAAGCAATCGTTGAATTGATGACCAAGGTACGCAACACTACATGCTACACGAGAGCACTGACGATAGATTCACTTCATTAAATACCTCGAATCTAGTGCAGAACTACTCTAGGACACAATCCAAAAGTACTGGCGATACACTTGAATGTTACCTGCTTGCTTAGCCTAATGAACGTGTCCTGTGACACAGTCTTCATGAATTCAAACAGATGCTTGAGCTGCTCCCTCCGATGGCTCGGCAACAGCAGCACAGCCAACTGCAATGCTTCTATGGCAGATGCTGTCTTTTGCTGTTCAATCAGTGTGGTGAAAATCACAAGAAACACATCAAACATCCGTCCCGCTATCAGTGGATCTTGCAGCTTCGTGTAGCAACTAGCAACCGCTTTGAACAAACGAATTTTGAAGTCCGTATGGTTCACTATGGTATTTGTCTCTGGCTTCTCTAAAGTTTTTTTGTAGGATTCCGATTCGAGGTTTAGGCAGCTGAAAGCCGACTCTGTCCACACATCCAGGTAACTAAAATACAAACAAAACCAAGAAGGATTACTAAACCTGGAAATTTCACACTATTTCATGTTAGTAAGTTCGAATAAATTGGGTTAAAGTTATATTTATGCCATATCCTTAATATATACATTGTAACAGAGACACATAAAATATTAAGTTTTATGTTTTAAATTTACAGTAAATAAGCAGAGGCCAAAGGGTTCAGGTAAAATCTATTAAAAAGCTTAAAGAAATGAATCAATTAATTAATCCATTATTAAAATGGATTCCTCTGGTAAATCCACACACCTGTCTGTGACGGCTGAGCAGCTGTTGTGTTTACGCATGACGTTGGTCGGTGCAACAAAGTGGTGGCCACCAGGTGGCAGTGCAGGCTTGTCCTCGTCATGAATGATGCCCTCTATGATCGGAATCTCAACGACGAGAAGCAACCGCAGCAAGGAGATCTCCCGCCACACATCGCCCACAACTGTAAACGCACATACAGCGACGCCATTGCAAGAAAATTCAAACATTAAAAAAATTGGAAAAGATTTTTTTTTATTTTAAAATTATTTATCTTTTTTTTTAATTAAGTGAAGATCAAATACCGTAGACAGATCTCTTACAGCTGTCTTTTCCCGCCCATTCGCAACTTTTTGAGAACATTGCACTATGCCGTAAACGTTAATAACGCAGAGGAATTGAATACATGGTAGACCCTGACGCAGACTCACCGTTATCGGAAAGCCCGTAGTTCTGGCTTTTCCCTATAGATGGCACCGTTGGTAGCGACGTGCTCTTCATCATGTTTCTGCGGACGCCCTGACTCTCGCGCGCGCTGCTTCGTACGGCCGCGAACCTTCGTATAGACTTGCGTAGAAAGTGTTCCTCGTCCGCCAGCAACCTACGTGATTTAGATCCACATACCCAATTACACACATCGTTAGTCTAAGTTATATAGATCAAGAGTCCATAATAGAAAATTATGTATATTATGTATATTTTCTATTATGGACTCTTGATATAGATAGATATTTAGTAGTCTATACATCCGTGTTAGTAAATAGTATACACAAGATAACATACGGAATCTAAAGTGTGCGACAGAGAAATTAATCTTGGTGGAAAAATACGATGGGCAGCACAACAGATTTTCACAGCAACACGCCTAGGCAGCAGCACAACAGATTTTCACAGCAACACGCCTAGGCAGCAGCACAACAGATTTTCACAGCAACACGCCTATGCAGCAGCACAACAGATTTTCACAGCAACACGTCTAGGCAGCAGCACGATATTCGTACCTGGGTTGGGCACTCGCATGCGCATCAGACACCGCCGTTGGTTCCCCTTCTGGTATCTCATCTCGATGGCTGCAGCTGCGCTTCTGCGGTGCGCTAAAGACTCTTCCTGCCTTCGCTAATTCCTCCTGCACGTTCTTACCATTGGCAGTGAGTACCATCGGGTTAGAAATCACTCCCTCGCCGTCGATGAGGTCTGGTTCGATAGATTTACGTATCCTGCAAAGGAGATATCAATCCGTTGGTATACAGTGCTGCGTAATAGTAGCTACAATAGGCTGGTAAAGTACATATCAGTGAAAGAGATTTGTCTCTTGGGACATTCACTAGTTGAATGTAGTACTTCCTCATCAAAAACACGTGCTTTTCTGCCACCCTGAAATTAAATTTGGGAGTGGACCATCTCCTGTAATAGTAGAGGCAGTGACCTTTTCAACTGACCTTGTCTTAATATGAGAGGAGACTCGTGCAATAGATGAGCAGCAATCCTCCTAATCTAGGACAATAACCCTTAAATATAACATTGCTAAACTAGAAAAGCAGCAACCTCTATTAACCTTATCTATCACTATTATTAATCCTCACTACAACATGAAGCTAGGGGCAAAACTAATCTGCCAAACTGCCAGAAAATCACCACAATGTAAAAGCAGCGACAATTTCATCTCCAAAGCGCCAGACACTGAATACTATAGGTTTCTCTCCCCTTCTAAATTTCCCTATTACATAAAATGGTGACATGTTACCGTTAAAATCAAAACATGTTTGTAAATGCAGGTACACTTCTCAAGACATCAACAAAATCAGTTCTAAATAAATTCTCTTTGTAAACCTCACAGTCTATTGAATTCAGTTTCTCTACATCGTCGTTCTTAAACCTGTGTGTTGACATGCCAGCAAGAGTGAATTAATAATGATCTCCTTATTCGCCCCACTGACATCTCTACCTCTTTCCAACTGACAGATAAATGATTTCTCTGTTTGTTTAAGTGTACAGTGACTAAACATTTTCTATTGAGGAAATTAAAGTGAATAACGTGGATTTTCATGACCCATCCAACCACTCTTTTTGCCTATTCAGTCCATATAGATCACCCAGGCCCATTTTCTTGAAAACCTTAACATTTATTTGCAGGAGAGTAGACCATGGGAGGGGACAAAGGCCAAGCAGCCCGCATTTCTTTATCTCCATGCATGCATAACGTCTGATTCTTCGGTAAAGCATGGATTTTGAAGAATAGCAACATTGTGGTGGCAAAATTGTGCATCGGAATGCTCAGCGGTTTGTTTACAGAGAAAGCGATCGCAAAACCACCCAAATTTCTACAATAGCAGGCATAATTACCCAACCCACATCCTGTGTCATGGTTGCCACACTTTCTACAACGACACACTAATCCATGCTCTCGTCGTTTGCCCCGTTTCACCAGTTGGTTTTTCCTGCACTGGCATCGCATGTGTTCTACAAACGTTTAATTTTTGACAACAGTTAACAAGATTTCCTTTGAAGATTTCTGTCAGTCAAACAAAACATAATTGCTATCAATTGAACCACATTGTTTGTAATGTGCCATCATTAACTGAACAGTTAAATTATTTGTTTGACATAACCTAGCTGACCTGCCAAAATCACGCGTGGAAATTTCTAATTGTTTAAAAACAGATTACTAGAATTCTCTATTGATGCTATGGGTAGCATCCCATGAATTCTCATGAGTTCATTTCTCATATTTGCCTGTGCTTTTTCACTCGCACTCAATCTGCAAGCATACCACAATCCACCTGTCAATATTTCCCTGGCTTAACATGTCACAATGAAATTTTCTCATCAGTCATCGGAATGCAGCACTAAGGGTATTGTGCCGTACACCTTCTCCCAGCTAATCAGGCCGCGACAGAAGGCAGACACCAGCAGATAGCATCGTTCACATTCGGTTGAAAGCTGCCGAGAGTTCTTTCATCAGCGGGTAACCCATTCACGCGCATTCCTGCGAACCAGCGACATCAAAGACGGAACGTGGCATTGAGAGCACGGTTGAGGTACGGCCATGATCTGTTCCCATCATGCCTTCCACACTTGGCTGGTTCATAACATCATAAGCCTTATCCTCCCCCTTCACTCACTCACCACAATTGAAAGGAGACACGTATCAAACTGGACACGGCTTCGGTTTGAACAGGAAGCACGTGGCACAGGCACATAGTTTAACACCAATTATCGGTGCGTGCAAAATAAACAGGATAAACCTTCCTCGCCGAAAATCTTTCTCTGAGCGATAAAAAAATAACGCAAATGCGCTCTCGCAGGTGCGCATATTTTTCGCACAATGGCTACCGTTGAAGATTTTTGTTTACTCAAGTATTTAAGAAACGACCTCCCGCAAAATTAATCTAAGAAGGAAACTGCTGCAGATCTGGAAGCGAGGCGCGATCACGCAGCTGCTGCCATTAGACACATTTCTGAAATCCGATTACTGGTTTCCATCTGCCAGTTGTCATCATTCAACCTAACCCCACTCCCAAAAAATGTCAAAGGTCACATACCCATTGAAAGAACGGAAGTGATTCAAGAGTTTTACGCTAACAAAATTGCACTAAACAAATAGCTAAAATATGAGGTCTGATAGAGAATGCTGTAAAAAATCTAGCGTAAGTAATAAATTCAGTAGACATTACTGTGACCAGTTAAGGATATTTTCCCCAAATTGAGAAAAATTTTTACCGCAAAATAATTTGTTTAAAGGCGGCGTGTTTTGTTAGAACCAGTGAGCACAAACTGACAGAAACATCTATTATTTTTTAATCGTTTTGGAACCATAGTCCTACTGTGTTCATCTCACACTAGCTGTTTGCTCATGCTACCACTGTTACTGCCATAACTAGGCTTATGAATATATTTTACTAGAAAATCAAATGAATGTTTTAATACTTGCATAAGTCACAACTTCAAACAGCTTATCACAGTAAAATATACCACACAAACCCAAAGATATAGCCGGTTTTGTGGCAAGGTGTCCTTTTACTGCACTGACACTACATCCCAGTTACTAACACTGTAAGGGCTTTCCTTCTTAAGATATCACTAATGAAAAATGTAATGTATTTCTCCTTATCAGAGACAAAAGATCCCTGGTCCACTGCATTTTAAACAAACGCAGAGAGCACACATAAAAGGCCATAACACAAATCAACGAGCAAAATAGGTGTAGACTGTTACGTTGCCATTGTCATTACCCCTTCAGTACACTGCACAGGTGCAAAACGTGTCTATGAACGACAGAGTGTTACCTCATCCTGTCCTCTGGTCTGTGTGGCGTGTTCGAGTCTCTGTTCTCCGTTTGCTCGGTGGCGGTAAACCGGTAGAGCTTCGTTGCCATGTCCTGGAATTTCTTGGGGCTGTCCATCGGTGAGGCTGGGGACACGGGCTCAAAGACATTGTAGTCCATGAGGGCCTGACATAGCTGCAAGAGGAAAGAAAGACCATGATGTCTGCGGATTTTCGATAATTTTCGATGATTTTCGATGATTTCCCATGATATCTGCCACGTCTGGCAAAATCGTGCTAGCTGCATTTGTTTTACATAATTTTTTTTTCAGATAAATTGTACGACTATTATGTTGAGTCTAATAGCAAATTTTTTTTTCAACTAGCTATGTCTCAAATTCCCCCATCGTGTTACTACAATAGAAATACTCATCTACTTCTTCACAATTCACAATCCACACGACAGGCCTTATGATGAACCCCAAAATACAACCGTCTCAGAGCATTCTGCAACTGGACTACGCTTGCCATCTTTCCGAGAATAACATTGCGTGGGTTACTACCTTCACTGCTTTCTCTCGTGAGACATCGCATCCGAAGTTGACCGAGTCCTGCATCAGGTATCGCAGCAACACGTTGACAGCATCCTGACCTAGAAAATCGACAACAGTTTCGCCCGATTCCACAAATTTACTCGCTTTCCGCTATGCTGCACGCCGGCGTTCGAATGTGTTACAAAAACATTTACAAAATAAGAACGGGATTTACAGCTTAGTCTTGTCAGTCTCAATGTGCTATAGTCTTGATCTACCCATCACAGAGATCTGTATTAACATATGAATCATTACTCGTGTCTGGCATCCCTCTCAAGTATATGGCCACGTGAGTTTGGTTATGGAACGTACCTGTGAAGCAGCAATCAAAGTATTTGACCTTCTGACGTCTTCGCTTGACCTCGACCCTCTCCCTCAAATGCTCTATGATGTCATTCCATATCTTCGTCGCTCTGAACGGACCTGAAATGTTACACAAGGTTTACTGATTTGCCAGTAGGAAGATTCCGTTAAGCAGGATTCAACGTGTGTTTCCCAACCACAACAGGTATATATCACACTCAATTTAGGATGATACATAGACCGTCCGGATGGAAGAAAGTGCCATAGCGAAAACGGCACTTAGCACTTAGATGGACGCCAGACGGGATGAGAAGGAGGGGAAGACCCAAGGAGACCTGGAGAAGGACCATCGAGAAGTAGATACGGATGTGTGACCTGTCATCATGGGACACGTTGAGGCCAGTAGCGCTGAGAGGGTCTATGTCCCCCGGGGTACTGCCGGAACGTACCCTGGTACTATCTAATATGCCGGACCGCGCACGCACGCACGCACGCACGCACGCACGCACACACAACCACACACACACACACACACACACACACACCACACACAAACACATTCGTTGTTATAATATTTTATCATCTTTATTACTATATTATTATATATATATACATTATTGGGTTTTATGTTTATCTTTCGCTTTATATAGATCAGGAGTGATAATAGGGAATATTACTATTAAACTACTATTAATTAGCTATTAATTACTATCTACTATTTAGATAATTACCTATTGTGCGTGTGCAGTGTTCGTGGCTGGGTGAGTTCGCGTGTGCGTGTGCGTCAGGCGTGTGGTCATGTGGTGGGTCACTGTGCGTGTGGCGTCTGTGCGTATGAGCTCGCCTCGTTAGTGCGTGTGCGTGTGCGTAGCTAGGTGTGGCGGAGCGTCTCGTTAGACCGCAGGTTGCCTATAAACCGGTCCCAGCTGAGAAAAACTAAAATTGCAAGGCACAGCTCAGATTTGAAAGCGATCACCCGCCGGGCACATTGCGCATGTAACTAAAATCAGCGCAAAAGGCTGCGTCCACAATGTGGGCTTGATTGCAAATATTTAGAAATTATAGGGCTCAGGTTAGGTCCTGGTAGGATGACAGCCGATCGCTAAACGGTCTCCGGTGACTATGACAAAGAGCTAGCTGGTGTAATACAGGGACTCTTTACATATGTGATTGGCGTTGGCTGTGGTAACCCAGGGCACGTCGTGAATCGTGTTTTCAGTAATTCCGAATACTATTGCGCTACTTTCAGCTGTCTTTCACGTTGTAATTTTTCCAACGGTAAAGCCTGTTAATTATTTTTATGTGAAAGCTAGATGCTCTTAGAGCGTGTTTGCGACATTTCGATGTTATATATATATAATATATATGTAATTTATTTACCCTTCCTGTCTAGGAGTTTTTTTTTTAGAACACTGTAAACGTCGGTAGGATTTTGTCCAATTATGTGTCTATGTGGTCATGGGGTCAAGACTACGCTTTTCATAGCTCTCAATGAGACGTTGGTCTTTAGAAAGTCTTTAGTGCAATACTGAAAAATCCGATA